AAGTATCCTGGACATCTTGACTTCCATTATGTTTCCTGAACATTTATGAAGTTTTCTGAACCTCTATAAAGTTCTCTGACCTTCTATGAAGTTCTCTGTACAGCTCTAGGTTTCCTGAACTGTTATGAAGTTACCTGTGCTTTTTAGCATTTGTTAAACCTGCTTAGATTCTGTTAACTTTGCATAAATTCCATGAATTATTCTGCTATAAATTTAATTGAATTTATCTGCAAAAGTGGCTTTTAGATCTCAGAAATCATATTCAGTACGTGTACATTTCTAACACGCAGGGCAGGGCTGACAAAACTAGTTATTTTAGGTACCGTGTTGAAGAAATAATTGACCAAATAGTGACTTATAGTTCACTAAACAATTTTCTAAGAGAAGAAAAGTTGTCGTTCTGATGCCACACCAAATAAATGTTTAATGTTTTAGACCTATTAAATTAGTATCTCATAAACGTTTATGTATGACATGAAACTTTAAAGCGAAAGATTCAATAGAAAGTTAATGCCCGAACCCACGGTATTAGCCAGGGTGTACTACCTGGAAAACCTTGGAAAACCGAGAATTTTTAGTGAATTTTATTTTTCCTGAAAATACCTGGAAGTCTTAGGGAATTTAATAATTTTCAAACAAAGGATATTTCAAAGAAAATAATGCATTTTAAAATACAAGCATTTAATTTTCCCCGTTATTTTCATTCACACATAGAACTTTATAGATCAAGAGTAGATTAAACTTCAGTATTTATTTTTTTTTTAATTCAGAGACTTGAAATGTTTTTTGCGCATTTCCAGGCCAGATACAAGATTTTCAAAATAGGATCCACAAAATTCAAGATTTATCAAAAAGAAATCCGCGACTTAAAATACTAATCCACGACAAATAAAACACTTTTTTCAGTGCCTAAAAATACCATTTGTATTACTACTAAGGTAAATGTCGGCTTCGGCACCCATTGACTGTTTTCGGCAACCAAAATTTAAACGTTAATTTCACTGTAGTTTCCCATCAAAACACTTCACTGAATGTATTCAAACGATTCCTAAGTTTTTCAGCTTCAATATGATTACATTTTTACGACTGAGCAATGCTGTTATGCCAGATATTTCTTTAAATGAAATATACGCAATGCAAAATACGGCTGATTTCGAGTTGCTGATAATAGAACAGCTGGTTAACACATAGTTCAAATGGAAAAGTTGCCGAAGAAAAAGAGACTGCCGACAATAGACACACTCACCTGAGTAGTTTGGAGCCATGTAAAAAGTCAAACAGTTTTGAACAATTCTGTCGATTGGAATGGATAGAGAAACAAGCAGCAGATAAACGTAAGCAAGCAAACACGACTTATGTTATTGCTAATAGAACTGCGGACGCTGCTTAGATTGACGAGAATACGTAAATTCCCCTAAATGGCATTTCAAGCTTATAACATATTAGCTCTCAACTTAGTCTTCTTTGAAGCACTTCCATATTTTAATTTAGAGCTTTCTATGCCTGTACCATCCTATACCCAAGGAAGTCAAGAAATTTCCAACCCGAAAAATTAATAGATCAGACGGGAATCGAACCGAGTCGCCTGCAGCATAGACTGGCTTCGTAGCTACGCCTTTACCGACTGAGCTAAGGGAGTATCGTTTGTACACTTAAAAAAAAAATAAATAACAATGTATCATCTTCAGCTATTTATGTTCATGTTAGTATAAATTCTAAATATTTAGTGAACATAATAAAACACCCTTACATTATTAGATTCTAAGGTATAAAAAACGGTCAGGCTTTTCTGAATCATTAATTTAAAACATTTATGCATTTTCATTTGAAATACAAATTAACTGCAAAATGATTAACATCGAAATCCTAATAAAAAATAGGATACATAGAACGAGTTACCATTCAATAAAATTAATTTATGGTTTTCATTTTAAGAACAATAATACAGAACATAACCCTTCTTTGGAGTATTCCAAAAGAGTTTTGGAGGAAAAATTTATGTTAATTCCATGGAAAATTCTACGAGAATTAAACTCTGAACTTCTAAGCTAGTTCCAACAAAATTTAAAGGAACATTTCTAAGCAATTCTGAGAGTTATTCCAAGGATAATCCAGTGATAACTTTTAGAAAATTCAAACGATAGTATCAAGGAAATTATGAGTATTTTATTTTTTAGAGTATTATGGCGGACAAAATATTAAATTATTCCATAAACAATTGCGAGATTGTGGGCACAGAAAATGAATCAAGATTCAATGCTTGGGAAACAAAATTCTGAGGCTGAGTTTTTTATGGTTTCATGCTAAGAAAATTACATGATCCTGGATTTATAAAAATCTTCAAAGTCATGGTGTTTTATTTAAAAATAATATTCTAAACATGGAAGAAAATTAGGGAACGTGAGAAGGTTTCCAATTTCCAAAACTAAAGACATATTTGAAATGCCGAATTTTGAAATTTCATTTTGCGAACATACCACTCCGAACACGATGCCTCCGGTAAAATGTGTAACGGTAAATTGGCAATGATTGAAAAATCATTGCTCAGCAATTTATCAATAGATTTTCGGAAGCTTTCGAAAACAAATTTTATCTCTTAGAGCTTAGAAGTTATTTATAAAAAATAATTTTTTTTTATTGAATCCTCTGATACTTCCGGAGCATTTCAGAAAGTATTCCAAAGAGAAGTTCAGTGTATTGTTAAAGGAAGCAGTGGTGCATTTTAGGAGATGTGTTTCCTGAATTGTATGTGAAGATTCCGGATCTAATAAAAAAAAATCGGTTTCCTTAACCATTTCTAAGATTCTCTTTTTGAGTCTTAAGAAGTCCACGCAAGCTCATAAAGTTCCCCAACTTTTATAAGATGTCTAATCTTTTCAGAAACTCCCTGATCATCCCGGAAAGGTTCCAAAGCGAAGTTCAGTGTATTCATAAAGGAAGTTCTGGATAATTTTGCAAAAATGTTAAACAAAATAATTCAACGATCCCCTAATTTAATAGATAAATCTTAATAATAGTCAATGATTCCCTTAAATTGAGGAACATCAAGTGGATGTTCTGGGAACTTTACGGAACAAGTTTGGGATGTTTGAGGACCTTTGAAGAAGGTTTATAAGAACTACATTAAGATGGGAGAACATTCAGGAGAGAAATTTGGAACATTTTGAGGTTGTGCTGAGAACGTTATACAGTTGTTCAAGAAGCTCGAAGGAAATTTCAGGAGATTGGGATGATCCCAGGCCCGGAAATTATTAAAAAACTCTTAATGAAAACTCAAGTAATTCAAATGAACTCCGAGAAAGTGCTTGTTGACCTTTTAAGAGATTTGATGGAATTCCTGGAGATGTTCAGGGAATAACAATGAGAAGTTTAAGATAATTCTATGAAATATTCCAGGATGGTTGCGTTACGTTCAAAATAAATACGGCTATCCTCCTTCATAAAAGTACTGGGTAAAAGAGCTACCAATTGCTTCCATAGTTTTTTTGAACTCTTTTTCGTAGTATCTCCAACTTTCATTTGGTATGGGCTTTGGAATGACATGAATAGTCTTGAGTGAGGCTTATTCAGGCTCTGTGGCTACGTTCGATTGTCTTGATGATGGGAATGTTCTTGTAACCTTGACGTCAAGGGCGTAGGCAGGGAGAGGAAGGCAGAAGGGATCAAATTCAATCATGAATTTAGTTCTCAGAATTTTGATTTTTCAAAGATCTTAAAAACCATCTTTGGCAACAAATGTCCCAAAATTCTATTCAGATTTGTTTGAAGACGGATAACGTAGAAATTCATCAAGAATTCATAATTTAAAAATACAGTTACAGAGTTAGAGAATCTTGAAAATTTTCCTTAGGTGACATACAAGCTTTTTGTAAACAAACTTTTGTTGGTCCTTTTCTCGCCAACCGAGGGTCGCCCACGCAAACCAACAACATGATCGGGAAGGGGAAAGCTTCCCCTACCCGGTGATGTTGATGGTTAGCGTTGGTGTCATATGTGTGGCGAGAAAAGGGCATAAGAAGGTTTGTTAACAAAAAGCTTGTATGCCCTTTTCACATGTGCCTCTTGAGTTATTGTTTTAAACATCATAGAAAAGCAAAATTTTGAAATCCATTGAAGAAAGATCTCGGATTAAGGAAAGTGTTCTTACGGAAAAAGAATAATTCTCCAGATTCTAGAGCTTTTCTGGAAAATTTTCGAGATTCTGATGCATGCATTATTCGAACACTGGGATTTTTTCGATTTCAGAATGAAATAATAATGAGTAAGTAGATACAGAAAAACAGTTCCACATTTCAAACTGAGAGATTTTTTATGATTTCAAGGGGTCATCCACAAATTATGTGAGGGTTTTTGACTGACACTATTTTTAAGATTCTAAGTTTTTGATTTTTGAAAGCAGATCTTATTAATTTTGGCAATGACCAATCATCAAAGAAAAAATGTTTTTACCGCCCTTTGCTTCAACTTGACTATGCTGATAGGAAAATTTAAAAAAAATATCGATTTTCAGGCAAAGTTTTCGACTCTGGTAGTCTCAAAAGCAACAAAAACGATGTTTTCTTGTACACTAGACGTTCGCTAATTGAAAGACTTTTAACTGAAAGTTTCAGTTATCGAATACTTGTCAGTCAGATTGGTGCATTTCAAAATGTCAAGATGAACCAAATGAACAAGGAGATGAAGAATTATGTATTTTAAGTGCATTTAACAGCTGGTTTGACACAAGAAATGCATCTCCGTTAGCGAGTGCCGTTCGCTAAATGAAAAATAAACATGTTTCAGTTAGAGGCAACGTTTATTGATAATATGTTGTACCCTACATATTTTCTTCCAACAACATTGGTCCACAACGGTGCCCACTTCAGAGCATTGGTATCGATTTCTGTGTGTCCCACTGTTCACTTGATCTGAAACGTTTACCGTTAGGATAAAAATTCTGTTCTATCGTTTGATTATGGAGCGCGGGAGTTTACTCTACGGAGAATTCCTACAATACTTACATTCACATCAGACGAATCGGAAGACAAGCGTTGCTTTACCGGTACGCAAAACAGCGCCAGGTTGGTCCTTATGTATCCTGCGTTCTATTACCCTCTCCGATCAGTGTTGGATGCCTCTTTAGTACGTCGATTTTGTCCCAAAGGGTGTAATGCTCTCCCTTAACTTCTTCCTTCGCTCGCTTCAATATCCGGTGCAATTCTTTTCCCCTGTTCTTTTTTTTTTCTGCAGTTAATTATTCCTTCTTCTTTTTCTCAAGTTCCCATGCACAATACTAGCGCACACAATTTTACGGAACCTTGCACAACTTAATTGGTTCAACTAGCACACTGGACTGGGGTCACATTCGCACTCTCCGCGCTGCTGCTGTTTACCTTTCTACCGGGAATAGACGAACCAAGGTAAATACCATTAAGTAATCCAATTTACTTGCTTCGAATTTGTTGTTGTCGTTATTGCTTTCGATGATTTTCCACTATTTGATATGGATTTATCGCTTACTTATTTGCTTGTTGTCACACGAACCGTTTTTTGCCACTTTTAGAATTTTTTTTTATTGTTCAGGCATTAGAATAACAAAATTCTGATAGAAAACTACACTTTTTCTTCTGAAGCACTAGTATTGGTGTTTGTGACAGAATTTCACCGCACGTTCGTTCTGACGATGCTCATAAACACGCTCAAACCGTAGTAGGTACCTATGTATCGTGTTTCGTGCAGAGCGGACGCAACAAGTTTTTTATTATTGTTATTCTGATTCCACCCCAACTTCGTCGTCACTGCCTGCTGCAATCCACAGAACTCACCACACTCGTTTCACCACTATTTTCGCGTTTGTGTTGTTTTGTTATTATTCATTGACAGTTGCACTGGTATGGGTGTCTCGTTGCCGATGTGCTTGATTGTGGATTCTTGTGGACACATTCAATTCAACCACCAACAGTTGCGAATAACGTTGAAAAGGCAAAAAAAAAAATAACTCCACTCTCTTTCGCGCGAGCATTCATATGAGGCACTCAAAGAGAAAACTTTACAATACACGGGCCTGCAGCGCTGGAGGATAATCAATATTCATGAAATGCACAATACACTACTTTTCCAAAACTGCAGTAATACACACCCCAATTCCGATGAGATGCGATTTCGCTCTTTCTTTGCACAATCCAATAGCTTTTCGGTTTGAGTATTATATTTTTTTTCGCTCCGTATAATTCAAATAAAAAAGGCAGGATTTCCGGAACTAGCTCAGCGCACAACAATCAACAATTATTATTCCAATTCTATCAGAACAACGATCGAAAAGAACAACAATAATAACCGCACAACCACTTTCAAGCTTTCTTTTGTGTTTGATTGCACGCACTGCTTGCTTTCAATGCTAGGATGTTGTGCTATTCTCTTCTTGGTGTGTGCTGTGTGCTAGGCACGCATCTTCTCAACACAAACACACAGGAAAAATCTAATGCACTTCCAGAAAACACCAAAACAGCTAAATCCGAAATGCCGACACTACTTCAATTCTAGACTAACATTTGAAAAGGGCGTAATTCCAAAATGACCATATCGAGAAAATCGCTTCTGAATTTTGTTGACCTAAAAATTAATCCTATTTCACGACTTTCCATTTTCTGGTTGATTTTATAAGCTTGACATATAGTTAATAGTGTAATCTATCGTCATGCATCACTAAAAACTCAAAAAAAGCTTTCTTTGTCGTGAAAATGAGAAGAAAACATCATACGCCCTGATAATTTCATACATGTTGTTACCCCCCAGATCTTCCACCCTTTGAACTGCCAACACTGGTGATACGCCGTGGAAGTACACCCTCGGGATTTTTTGTTTGTTGTTCCGCCTTGGTTCTTCGTTCGCAAATTTTGTGAGAGTGGAATTACGCCCGGAGATGTTTTGGTCTTCTTTTTGTTCGTTGTTTACACGTGAACTATCAATCGGATGCATTTCAAATGAATCGGGCGTGACTAGATACTAGAGAATCAAAACATTTGGCATATTAAAACGATATAATTCGTAGTTCTGGTGCAAGGCGTAACAACCAGATTCATCATAGAGTTGAAAGTTGGAAATACGCCATGTAAGAAGAAACGTTTTTGATGATTTGAAGTGATATTTTCTTCTACTTTTTCGTGTTTATCGAGTAGTTTGTGAACTATTCTCTCTATATGTGGCAAAATATGGTTTGTTTACATTTTGGCTCTTACGCCCCTTTCAAATGTTAGTCTAGAATTAACTCGCGTTCTCAAAAACATGAATCCTGACCAATAATATGAAAGGATTTACACACTTCACACGCACACCCCCGATTGGTGACGGTCAACTAAGGATACGTCCGTACGCGATCAAATCTCAACTGCGAATGAGATAGCTTGGCGTGGTGTTGAACGCTTTGAAAGGCTCTATTCAGTATTCACCCCAACTCACCACACTCGGTAAGTTGATGCGATCTCCACACCACACCACACCACACCAGAACAAAAGAGGGAGGTCGGTTCGGGTACGGTCGGTTCCATGAATGCTGAAAATAATGAATGAACAAACAGTGTGTGTGTGTGAGTGGAATAACGGGGGATTTGTAGTTACAGATGTGTGAGTGGTATGGCGCAGATAAACGGAGTTTGTAGTCGAAGCTTTCGCCTATCGCGCGAGAAAGAGCTTTACCGTTAGCTTTTTTCAAGATAAGGCTAGTACGGGGGGTGTACCGAAGGAAAATAGAACGTGTAATCTTTGAAAAATAAAAGAGCAATTCTAGATAAACATTTCAAAAGGTCCTATCTGCATTGAACGATTATCTTCATCGACGTTCTCTTCCATTTATAACTCAACTTCAAAAGCATTCCCTGCTGTGTTCAACGTTCTAAGCACAAGATAGCAACTTCTGCCATTAAACTGTGTGGCAAAAAATGCACCAAATGAATTTGTGTAGGCGTGGTTATCAAAAGAGAAAGTCGATGAAGAGAATCGATCAAAGCAGATAGGATCATTTCGACAGTGAGCATGCATAAGGGCCTTATCGCGATAATTGATTCTCTTCGTCGATTTTCTCTTTTGTTAATAACTCGCTCGATTTAACGTTTCTCGGTGCGTTTGCTGTTGCTTTTGATAGCCAATACAACCTGTTACTACTCTGCATTGAACACATTCTAGAAAATTGTTTCGCTCAGCTGTAGCAATGCAAAGAGAAAATCGATTAAGAGAATCGATCATCGCGTATTCGCCCTTATGCATGCTCACTGTCGATTCGAAATGTTCATCGAGAATTGGGTTCTTTAAGGGTATTGAGGTAAATGCATATTCGCAATCTGCATTAAAAATGGAATCCAAACCCAAAATTTCATCAATTTTGGTACACTTCTTCGTTCTCTTCTTGTTCGCATTTCAAGCTTATTGCTTTGCGCATATTAGCTTATTGCGTGCTCTCAACTTAGTGTTCTAAATGCACTTCCATAGTTATTAATTGAGAGCTTTCGATGCCAATACCAATGAATGAATTTGTATATTGTGTGGCAAGCAAAATGATACTCTATGCCCAGGGAAGTCGAGAAAATTTCCAACCCGAAAGATTCCCTCGACCGGACCGGGAATCGAACCCACCGCCTCCGGCTTTGTAATACCACCAGCTAAGATCAGCAGGTCCCGAAGAAACGTGCTCAACTTTTTGGCTCCGCTCTGGTACTCTCTTCGGTCCCAAGCTAATCGATTCACCCCTCGAAACATAGGAAAATCCACTAACCCCTCATTTTATCTGTCAAACATTCATAGCGAATCAAAACAAACATTGCGTAGTACTAGAATTTCGACTAGAATGGGGTAGGTTAATCGTTTGCTTGGGACCAATAGGCTAGTCAAGCAGTGAGCCAATTTAAAATCGTTAGTTTCGTATTGATTGTTGGTAATACCGTGCCTTTACTGACTAGGCTAATAGCCCCCTTTTGGTACACTGTAACTATTTTAAATAAGAACGATTACATTTGCAAAAATCACCTAAATTGGGTTGTTTCATTTCGAAAAACATACCGGTTTTTATTATAGACACTATAGATTCCATACATAAGCGGATGCGAAGTAGAATTTAGCCAAACGAACTGTCAGTTAGTGTAGCCAAACGAGCATGACGCCATCAAGGAGTTTTATGTAGAGGAAGTATTGTAATATGATGAGCAAAATTTTATTTATTTTCATATTATTTTTATTTTTTTCGTGACTAAATATATATCGGAAGTAACTGTTTTTCAACAATAAATTACATTAATTTACACGTAAAGTTTTAATAATTTAGGGCACAGATATGATTACCCATCTCTAAATAGCCATTGATTTATTTCATGAAAACGGAACAAGAAAATATCACGCAAACCACTCCTCGATTATAATTTTTTTTACAAACATTTGCTTTGCACTTCATTTTGAACTTTTGCACAGCGAAGAGCGCTTTGGTGGCATCAACATTTTCACGGTAAGAGCATTTATTTTTAATGGATGCCAAAACAAACCTTTTCTAATTCATCTATAGAATCATCATCTTAAAGAGGGGGGCTAAGACCTAGGTGCCTAAAGCATAGGTGATACAGTAGGAAGAAGTGTTAGTTTGTTTACTAAAATGAACTATGCCAATTTAATTATGGCAAGTTTTGCTATAAGAAATGCTCCTCGTGTTTATTAGCGAAATTCACATCAAAGATTTATTAATTGCGTGAGAAATCATAAAAACATCTCGGGTCAAGATCTAGGCGCTTAATATAACAGGTGGGCAGGAGCTCACGGTCTCCCAGTGTTGGTGAGTTCTTTACCGTTAATGTTCACGAAAAGTTCACTTTTTTGCCATAAAGAACTTCAAAAGAAAAATTTTTATGGCGGATCTGGACAGTTTTTGACCTGTTTCATACGACCGGAAGGTGTATGCTGGTCACAAATGCCGTGCCAAACTGATTTCCTACGCAATTAATCAATCTTTGATGTGAATTTCGCTAGTAAACACGAGGAGCATTTCTTATAGCAAAACTTGACATAACAAAATGGGCATAGTTCATTTTAGTAAACAAACTAACACTTCTCCCTACTGTGTCAACTTTCTATTACCCGCCTAGGGCTAAGACGGTGATTTTGCCTAAGGTTGTAACCCGACAGCCTTACGAGTTTCCCGTTTTTAGTAAAAATGGCTTAAGCGCCACTCCCGAGGGAGACCATCTACCGAGACTAGGGTTGCCCGACCATATGAGACCTTTCAGGGAAGGTTCTGTTTTTCTCAAATGAATGAGCGGGAAGCAAGTTGGCTGTTGATCGATTACGATAAGGACGGGAATGCCCACGACCTATGGTCGTGAAAGAATCAAATAAAAGAATGAAGCATTCACGAAAACGATTTCTGCCACCGATGAATTGCTCTCGCGGATTTTATCATCACGGGCAGACTTGACACAACACTTCGAACGGATCCCGTTCGAATAGAGAGAAATCCTGGTTGGTTTCGGGGCCAACTTCCCCAGTAAAACTCTGCAAAAACTTCAAAAGAAAACGACCGGAAACGTGAAAAAGCCTTACATTCGCTTTTCTAGATCACTTTGGGAAATGATGAACAAAAACTTTTTATCTGTAGTGTGTTGGTTTATTTTCGTACTTCTACGTTATCGACAATTTATTATTCTAGGCCTATCTCAAATTCATTCCCTCTAGTTAGCTATCCTTTTCTTCTTTCTTCTTCTGGCGGTATTTATCTAGTGTGCTGTGCGACGAATGGTATTCATTTTGTGTGTGCTACAAAAAAGCTGTTTGGCGTTACCGACGCTTGCGCGGATCGGAATGGGTAACGGCTGAATGAACAGCGGCCACGCTAGCGGTTATGCTATGCTAGGGGCTTTAACTCACCATGCGCATGGGAATTTTGTGAACATGCATGTTACTCACGTTTTGACTCGCTACTTGCGTGGAGGAATTGGCGGTTGCTCGATGATGCCGGTTGAACCCACGTGTACCACACGTGATACTCCTACGGACTCCGAAACTATGCTACTGCGGACTGCACATAGCCGATGTAGTTTTCCAACTACGCCTCACACGCTGAGTTGTGGTCTTCTACCTAGACGGGGTACGGCCGTCGCATCGATGGTCGTCACCGTCGACGGGAAACTGCGGAAAGTGGTTGCCGCTGGAGAGGGAGGTCACCGGTTCGAAACCAGTGGGTTGCTGCTCACTGTGCCTAGGGCGCGGAAACCTTTTTGCTGCCCTTTTCCGGCCTCTGGTACCACCGGGTGTTCTTCGAAGCTGGAAAATGGGGTCGAAAACGGTCGCTGACTGATGTGGGTGGTGTGACGAGCTTCGCAACTTGCCACAAATCTGCCAAAGAGAAATTCCGTCGCGTGGCATTCAACATCTGCACACTGAACAAAGTTATGCACACAAAATTACCTCGGTTTCAATACACCTTCGCACACTCCTAACCGCCGAACTAACGCACTAAGCACTTTCTGCTCTAATTTCGAAAACTAACGAACTAATCGAG